GAGGCTATTTGCAAAGAATTTCAAGCATAGTGTTCGAAATAAGGGGATTTCTCAGATTGCTGGTGGTAATCTCTGTGTCTCCTGGCTTTAGTGAGATGAACACACTGTTATAGGGAGTATCACAAGTTCCAAAGAAGAAAGGCAATTTTTGTCTTAATAGACAATGTTAAAACCTTGTGAACCATTGATATTTGGACCCTGGGGGGGAAAACAAGCAAATATCCCTATCTAGATCTGTGTTTGCTCATTGAATAATGACATTTTGAAGCATCCACTGTGGATGCATTCAGGCTGTTACCTCACAGCTGTTCTTGGGGTTAGAGCGGCATCTTTCTGCAGATGCCTCAGAAAATACAAGTTAGCAACTAGGAAGATTTCGACTTGAAAAAAAAAGAGCAAGAGGGCAGATAACTAGAATTTTGAGGATGCTGAGGGGTGCAGTTCTGTTTCAATAGCAAGTATCTAGATAGCTGTCAGGCAGAAATATTCAATGGGAGTTGAATGAGGGTTTGCTTTAAAAGTGTGCCAAGTTGCAGGCAGTTACAGACCTCAACTCAGCCCTGCAGCATGCACTGAGATGATTGCAGTCCGTGTTGGAGCCATTATGCTGTTCTGTTTCCAATTCACCATATGGAGCAGTGGGCAACTACAATGTAGATAACCTGGATCCATTAACTCCTGAATAACTGGCACCATGCATCACACCCATCGATATAGAAAAGTTTTAGACTACTGCTACACAACTGAAAAAAAAAATCTGAAACTGGGCCTCCTTTATTTAAAATAGTTGAAGCCAGTTAGAATAATACTCAGAGGGGGAGGAGGAGCGGATCTGGGCTGACATTTCTACCATGTTTCATCCTGTAGTGTATTTATATACAATAACACAGTTAGAAATAAAGTGATGGTTTCGGCAAGATGGTAATGCAACACTATAGCCATGGTACGTTTTCCTCTTACTACAGTAACCATAATATGAACCAACCACACAAGCACTGGGTTGTTTGAAAAAACAGTGTTCTCAATATAGACGATCTAGATACACATATACACTGCAGCCTTGGCTAGTTTCTAACACAGACCATAGTACGCACTCATAGATCTTATTTAAATAGCACTACCTAGTTCCTGTACATTAGAATAGCATATATAGATCATGATGAAAAGTGCAGCTTTTAATGACATCATAGAATTGTATTTTTGAGGCATTCACAAACAACTACAATTTTTGTATGGAAGTACCTTTGAAATCATGCTTACAGTCAGGAGAGCTGACACCCACACTGGCCTGCTGGAAGGGGTGGGGCTTTGGGTGGATGGGGCAGGGCAAACAGAAACCAGGGACATCACTTCTACCCATCTTGGCTGCTAGCCATTGATGGACATAACCTCCATGAATTTATCTAGTTCTTTTTTTGTATGAAAGCACTTTTAAAATCATGCTTACAGGCAGGGGAGCCAACACCAACATAGTGATTGGCTGAAAATGATAACAAACATAGCTCTTCAAAACAGCACAACTTTCATTCATTTGGAACATGTCTCATCAAGTAGGCTATTCTGGTGATACCTGTAGATAGCCACTTATTGCTTTTCTCTGGTTCTTGGGACTGATCCAAAGCTGGGGTCAACTCTAGTGAAGTCAGGGTCAAGTCCTCACAGAACTCACTGGCACCCATTTTAACACAGAGGTTACGTCTTCACGGTGAGTTTCATGGTGAGGAAATATGCTAATGAGCAGGGCTCATGGCGAGTAGATTACAACCCGGAAGAACCGGATTTGGCCGATCTGCGCATGCGCAGATCGCCAGACAGCGCATCTGGCGAACGGGGATCATCACAACTCGGCGAATCCTGCTAATGAGGGACTCATTAGCATAAATCATTATATCATTAGCATATTTTCTGCCATTTCTTTTTGCGCAAGGGGTTTTTGCGCAAAAAGAAGCAATGTAGTCACTTCCGTTTTGCACAAAAACCCCGTTTTGCGCAAGATCCTTATGGCTGTCCCAGAGAGGCATCAGGATCTTGTGCAAAACAGGATTTTTGCGCAAAACGGAAGCAGCTATACTGCTTCTTTCTGTGCAAAAACCCCTTGCGCAAAAAGAAATGGCAGAAAATATGCTAATGATATAATGATTTATGCTAATGAGTCCTAATTAGCATATTTTCTGCCAGAAAAACTCACAGTGAAGACAAAGCCACTATGTATACCTGCAATACCATGCATGTGAACAGGAGCAATCATCTAGCATTTTTCTATTGCTAAAAATCTGTCAAGACATCCATCATTATATGTTGCCTCCTGGAGGAGTATGGGGCACTATTTTTATATTTTCTTTCATCTGTCATGACAAAAGTCAAATAAGGTCATGTTACCAAAGCAAGTGATGTTAGAAAATACATCAGTTTATGGGGCTTTGTACCACTTCTTTTCTTCCCCAGTTGCCTTTAATCTTTAGAAGTGGAATTACTTCACAGCTGAATCTGTGATGTATAAATCCCATTCTGGGATAGTGGACCATAGACAAAGTGGCAGGGTATTTACAGTAACCCTCCTCCTGATCTAATCTCACCTCTACATCTAGAAATTATTTATGAGGCTAACATTTTGATGAAAGAGCATGAGAAGGAAGGATATTTCTTCCAATCCTTTTCAAGTCAACGGGGTAGTGTCTTTAATTGGATGAGTTTTGTCAACCAATTTGTTGCCCAGTGATGGCTGGTGGGGAGGGAGAAAGCAGTCATGCATGCTTGATGACACAGGTTGCTGGCTTGGTATGTAGGGGAATGCAGAAAACAGACTTACATAGAGGAAGTCATTCTCTACAGCACACCAATTATAAGAAAACTGCACAATCGATGGAGACAAGGGTGTATTTAAAAATAGCTCAGACTGCTCTAGTATTGTACGTATTGATATCTATTTTGCTGAGGAAGAGATAGAGCAGAAAATTAGCACCCCCAAACTTTTTCTGACCCTACACAAGCTCCTACACAATGGAATTCATGCACTGGAGCTAGTGCACATGCTTAAAGCAAAGTACAGTTAGTTCCTTTCCTGAAGAGGGGCATTTGAGAACTATAGTTGT